TACATAAAGTATGGTACCCCGCTCTGTTTTCGACATATATATGTATACTTAAATTTGCCCATCTTTGTATTGTAAGCTTAATCTGATTATATCGTTAAGTTTGAATTCTGAGTTGCAATATTCGTCGACTGCTATCAGTACTCTGGATTCCTTTTTGAAATAATTTTAAGAACCGTAACAGTTGATATCCGTAAGTCTGTAAACATCTTCGTTTGACGAAAAATAAATTTGTTTTGATGCAGTCAAAGTTTATATGAAGATGAAAAGTTTGAGCAGAGGCAGCTAGCTGCATTTCTTCTTTCAAAGGTACAAATCTGTTTATTTCTTATTATGTTATTCTGATATTGCTTTACTATGGGATTTGCCATTTGTTAGTTATTCTGTACGTGCTTGCTTCAGCTGATTGACTAGTTCTCTAATCCACTTAGAAGTATGAACTAACATTCCGTTATTTCATTTGAAGAGTTGGCGATACAGAAAAATACAGAGAAATGTTGCCATACATTTACTATCTACTTTAAAAGAAGAAACTGAATAACTTCGGTGCGAGTAATCATCAAACGTGAGTTCTTTCTTCAGGTATTCTATTACCTGGGCAAACTTAATGACTCTTTGTCATATGCTCTGGGAGCTGGTCCATTATTTGATGTATCTCAGGATTCAGATTTTGTTCGTACTGTTCTTGGTAAGAATTACATGATCATCTTTCCCGTTTAAAATTATGTTCTCGTGATAGGAATTATTCATAAACAAGTGACTATGTAATCTTTATAGATCTGCTTCTGATATTATATATTTTCTTGTTTCGGTCAGCCAAAGCAATTGATGAATATGTCAGCCTGAGGACCAAAGCAGCAGTAATCGATTCTAGACTGGAAGCAATCGTTGAGGGAATGCTTGACAAGTATGTAAAATATCCTTTTCTGTTACCTAACTTCGTAATTCGGTTCTTCATTTATATTTGTTTTATTACCGTTATTAACAGATGTATAGCAGACGGAAAATATAAACAAGCCATTGGAGTGGCCATTGAATGCAGACGATTGGATAAGCTTGAGGATGCAGTTTTATGTTGTGCTAATTTTGAATCTATCATTAAGTATTGCACTGATATTTCCCATTCCTTTGTCAACCCAAGAGAGTATCGACATGAGGTACATATAATCAGATATATAATGTTCTACTTTAAGTTATTGCCTTGCCCAGTTTAATGAGGTACTATTAAATTTTTTGTCTTAAATCATTCTTGGTTCTGTTTCAATTTTCTGGACTCCAATCTGGGTTTTTTTTTCTTCATGTTCCGAAGTATTAAAATATTCTGAAATAAAATATTCACTGATCTGTCATTGCAAAAATATTCTCCTGCAGGTCCTTCGTGTTATTGTAAAAATATATCAGCAGCTACCGTCTCCTGACTATTTGAGTATTTGTCATTGCCTAATGTTTTTAGATGATTCGGAGGGCATTACGAAAATATTGGAGAAACTCTTACAATCAGGAGATGTGGATGATGCACTATTGGCCTTTCAAATAGCCTTTGATATTGTGGAGAATGAGAACCAAGCATTCCATTTGAAGGTGCTAAATCAGCTTTCCACGCCAATGTTACAGCCTGAGCAAAGTGGAAATATACGCAGAGTGTACGCAAAAATAAGGCAAATTTTGTCCGGAGAGATTTCAATGCATTTGTCGATGCATTTCTTGTCCGCTCGTAACAAGTGAGGCTATATGCTCTTTGGTTTTGTTAACTATAACAAAAAAATACGTTTATATGCTTAACTAAAGTGGTTGAATGTATGATGCACGTTTTGTTTCTTGTCTTCTTACAGATCGGATCTTCTCATTATTAAGAAAATGCAGCAATCTGTTGACATGAGATGTTATAGCTGCCATAGTGCGATTATTTACTCTAATGCTATTATGCATGCTGGGACGACTGTCTATACATTTCTTACAGAGAATATGGCAAGTACAAATATGCTTTGTTTAATATCTTTTCTCATCATTTTCTTTGGTCATTTGCAGTGTTCCTTTTTTTTTTTTTTTTTTTGAGCTAACACTTGGATTAATTTTTCAGGACTTGCTGAGTAGGGCTCGCGGTTGGGCTCAATTTAATGCAACGGCAGGACTTGGAGTCATCCTCAGAGGCCATCAACAGAAGAAGTTGGATTCCGTTATGGCACCTTACATTAAACTAAGTGTTCCAGGTCCTTTCTCAAAAGGTGGAACACTTTTTGGTCTTGGTTTAATGCAATTGAACAGGGAATACATCAAAAAAATTCTGCACGAGACACTCCGGAACACTGCTTCTGAGGTCCATACATTATTTAGGAATATTTTTTTATAAACTGAATGGTACATAAAAAGTTGCATTTTTTTTTCTCAAAATGGTTGCAGGTTATTAAGTATGGTGCTTGCTTAGGTCTTGGTTTGGCAGCATTGGGCACTGCTGATAATGACGTTTTCGAAGACATGAAAAACCTGTCGTACGGTGGTGTGGCTGTTCTTGGTGGAGCTGCTGCCATTAGCATGGGATTGGTCATGGTTGGAACTGCAACTGAGAAGGCTAAAGAAATGCTTGCTTATGCACACGAAATTCAGCATGAGGATATTATTAGGTAAAACTGGTGTTTGTTTTTTCCTTTTTTTTTTTTTTTTTTTTTTTTTTTTCCTGGTCTCTAAATTTTTATTTGGGTTTGGCATCTTGATAGGGGTTTGGCATTCGGAGTAGCGCTGACAGTTTACGGAAGAGAGGAAGAAGCTGATTCACTCATTGAGCAAATGACTCGCGATCAAGATCTGTGCTTGCGTTATGGTGGCATATATGCTATTGCCTTGGCGTATAGAGGAACATCAAACAGTAGGGCCATACGTAAGCTGCTGCACTTTGCTGTGTCTGATGTCAGCGATGATGTCAGGCGGACAGCTGTCATTGCCCTCGGGTTTGTGCTGTATTCTGACGCTCAACAGGTTGGTGCATATTTCCATTTCTTTGTGAAATCTTGAAAAGTAAACTTATATTTAACTTTTTTATTTACTCAAAAATTGCAGACTCCTCGAATGGTTTCACTGTTGTCCAAGTCCTACGATCCACATGTTAGATACGGTGCTGCATTGGCAGTTGGGATTTCCTGTGCAGGCAGTGGTCTTAGTGAGGCTATATCTTTGCTCGAGCCTTTGACTTCGGATGCTGTTGACTTTGTTCGACAAGGTGCTCTAATTGCAATGGCTATGGTGATGCTCCAGATAAGCGAAGCCAGTGATTCTCGTGTCGGTGCTTTCAGGTATTCTGTCTAAATTATGGAGTTTTTTTTTTCTTCTTTTCCTTTTCTTTTTATTTTAAAAACATTCTTTTTTTCTGTAAATAATTCATTAGGCGAAAATTGGAAAAAATTATCGGTGATAAGCACGAAGAAACGATGAGCATGATGGGCGCGGTTATAGCTTCGGGAATTATAGATGCTGGTGGAAGAAATGTGACCATCAAGCTAATGTCGAAGACGAAATGTGATAGAATGACTGCAGTTATTGGTCTTGCTGTGTTCAGTCAGTATTGGTTTTGGCACCCGTTTTTATATTTCATGAGTTTGGCTTTTTCGACAACTGCATTCATCGGTTTGAATTACAACATGAAATTGCCAAAGTTTGAGTTCCTATCGCATGCGACGCCATCTCTTTTCGAGTACCCTAAGCCTACTAGTGTACCTATAACTACTCCACCCATACAATTACCCACCGCAATTTTATCCACATCATTAAGAGCCAGAGCTAGAGCCAGAGCCAGAGTCAATCCTGGTAATAATGAAAGCGAGATGGCAGATTCCATGCAGGTAAAATTTCGTCTCTCTCTCTCTTTTTTTTTTTTTTTTCCTCTAAGGTTGTGTTTGGATTAAAGGATCTGAACTAACCTGTGGATTTGAAATCCAGGTTTTCCTTGTATCAAAATGCAACCTATGGCTTTTGATCCAAATTTGCGTTACTTATATCGATTTAGGGGGAAATAAAAAAAAATTAAAAAAGAACTTGCGTGCTGAGTTTTGAGTTTATGTTTGTATTATGTTAGGTTGATAGCTCCGCAGAGAAGAAATCCGATCCCGAGCCAAGTTTTGAAATATTGGACAATCCAGCGAGGGTGGTCCCCACACAGGAAAAATATATAAAATTTCTTGAAGACAGCAGATATGTGCCAGTGAAGTCAGCAGCTTCAGGAATTGTGATTTTAAAAGATTTGCGTAAGGAAGAAACTTGAAGAATTCTCTGTATTGAATGCTTCCATGCACCTATCTGACGACGATCCTGCACTCACACGACTATCTACATAGACATCTTAGTATATATATATATACATATGTACTTAATATCCTAGTTTCGATCGATGGAGAAGCTTCTACATTTTCTTTCTCGTGTTTTTTTCGGTATGTTGTGCAACCACCGTGTAAGAAGGGCAAGGGGAATGTAGAATCTTCGATTTCGAGGCTTCTATTGTTTTTTTTTTTTTTGAATCGATTGTTTGGTGATGATTTTTGTAACGGTAGCTGTGGATTGGGAATCGGGTTTTGCCGGTCGAGATTTGAAGGTTGAGAAATAGCTATGTAGCACCTTTGTATATGAGTTTCTTCTTCCTTTTTGAATTTCTGTTAAGTTTTTTGCTAATTAAACTGTCACAACTCACAAGCAGAGTTTAATTAAAAATTATCCGTGATAAGCACAAAGCCTTCTACTACTGTACCCACTCCTGTTACGACAGCTGTCAAACTACCTAGAGCAGCAATTTTGTCCACGTCATCGAGGGTCGCCAAGCAACCACCTGACAAGGCTGAGGATTCCTTCCATGCATGCAGGTCAATATTACTTACTTCCCCGTTAATTTATTGTTTTTTATTTATTTTTTAATTTTCGATTGAATGGTTTTTGAGTTTATATATCTTTTGTATTGTGTTAGGTTTCGAGAGGTGGATCGGAGAATTCTTTTGAACTATTGAGTAATCCGGCGAGGGTGGTTCAAGAAAAATATATATTATTTTTCGAACATAGGAGATATGTGCCGGTGGTGACATCAGCGCCCTCTTTTTTTTTTTTTTTTTTTTTTTTTTTTTTTTGTGTGTGTGTGCATAGATTGGAATTTAGAAGAATTGTCTGATGATCTATGAAGTTGGGGCTGGTAATTTTTGTAACCATAGTTCTCGACAGAAAATCGGGGTTTAATTTGCCAGTTCGAGATTTTGTAGCTCGAGGAAAATAGCAACATTGCACCTTGTATATGAGTTTCTAATTCTTGCTTTCCTGCAGATTGATGTTAACTGCTGCTTAGGATCCAATATCAAATTGCACTTTTTCTTTTTCTTTTTTTTCATACAGAAAATTGGACTTTTTTTTTGTATATATATATTTAGGACTTACATTACAATTTTGATATAACTTTTTTTATTGCACATATTTATGTGTGTTAAAGCATTAAATCCCTCACACCCTTGATTAAAATGTTGGATATTCATCTCTATTTAGGTGGTGTTTGCAAATGTTTTTCCAAAGTGATTATGAGCTTTTTAATGTTTAAAAAAACTGATTTTGAACAAAGTGTTTGCAAACACCACCTTAGTTGGTACCAAAATATTTTTTCCCTTTAGAAAAACTTATTTTAATTTGTTTCATTTTAATTGTCACTAAATAATTCTAATGATGTACTAATTGCACCAATTCTACCCATTGTCACTTATACTACAGTTATTTGAACATCTATTAATTAATACAATTGAGACTAATAAAATTCTATCAATTTAATAAAATATTAAATTATCGAATTAATAATTTATCAGCACATCGTCACCGAGTCACAATCGAAAAAAATTATTATTCAAGCGAGGTTATTAATTTATCGAGATTCTACTGCACTTGAAAGAAAATTAGTTAATTAACAATTAATAATTTAATACTATTTCAGATGTATATTAGTTTCTTAATTGGGATGCTAAGAATCGAAAGCGACACATATTTTGGCACGACGAGAGTAATTTAGTAAAAGAAAAGTCTCTTGAATTAATATGTATAGGTAGATAGATATAGGTAGAAGCAAAATCCAGATCAAAAACCATCTCCATTACATTTCAAGATTTAAAGTTCAAAAAAAAAAATCTTTAATTTAAAATAATCTCGAGCGTTGGATCAATTACAGCAGTCATGAAAAAGTAAAGCTAAGGTGCGGTGGTGTTAACCTGTGACACACATTAATGAAAGGAGCTACCTGTAAAAAATAAAAATAAAAATAAAAATAAAAATTAAAGTGAGGTGGAAATTAATCCAAAGGCTCCTCTCATTTACACATGCATCATGCATATACATATATACATACACTATATATAAAGTCAACCCAGCCTCCATTTTCTTACATATATCAAAATATCATCTTTATATATACATATATATATATATATATATATTGATTAATTTTCACTTGTGTTTTTTCTACTGATACATCTCTTTTCTCAAGGTTTGTACCTAAGTTGATATATATATGATTCAATTCACTGACACTATTTGTCCTTATATATATATATATATAATTATATATATATATATATATTTTTGTATGTATGTTTGCATAATTTATTATTTTTTGTCATTATATGATATTCAAACCAATCATTTGATGAGTTAAAATCCTTACAGTTTTCTCCATTTTCTTGAAAATTTGACATTATTTTTTTTTTTTTTTGTATATTTTGATCTTCAGGGCCGTATATATATATATACATACATATATATGTGTATATATATATACATAGTGGACCCTTTGGAAAGCTGTCGAAAATTTTGTCAACGCTTTTGTTTGTTTGCATGAAGTGAGCCCACTTAGGGTTTTTTTGGCCTACTGATTGACATCATTATACCATGGAGAAAGAAGGAAACTATTCGGTATATATATATATATATATATATATATATATATAAATTTTGTTTCATTTGATAGACATGTTGTTTTACTACATGGAACCAACTATATTTTTGCAGGGTAATAATTTTGGTGGACTTGATTATAATTCCATGGAAGTTCATCAACCAACAAACCAAATAGTGGATTACATGCTCAACAATAATCCACCACTAATAAACCAGCAACCGCCGCCGCCGCCGCCAAACTTCCCCGGCGGCTCAAACTCGTTCGACAAGTTGAGCTTCGCAGACGTGATGCAGTTTGCGGATTTTGGGCCCAAATTGGGCTTACTAAACCAATCAAAAGCTACCGAAGAATTAGAAAACGGGCTCGATCCCGTTTACTTCCTCAAGTTCCCGGTTTTGAACGACGACCGTCACAAGTTGCAAGATGACGATCGCAATCAAGAATTGAGGGACGATGTAAAAGTGGGCGACGATGACGATGGTGGTGAAAATGAGATTAGGTTTGAGGAGAATATTCCGATTAATAATAATAATAATAATTCGATGAGGTTTCTAATTGGCGAAAATAATATCGAGAAGAGCCCACTAATTATTACGGAAGGTAATAAGAGCAAGAGAAAGAGGCCGCGGAGTACGAAGACTAGCGAAGAAGTCGAGAGCCAACGGATGACTCACATTGCAGTCGAGAGGAATCGGAGGAAGCAAATGAACGAGCATCTTCGAGTATTGCGGTCTCTCATGCCTAGCTC